GTGTTGATGTTTTATCCAAAATGCTCAAAAACGCCATGGGGACCCAGCCATGCAGAATTGTAACCAAATCCTTTCCAGCGCAATGCAGAAGTGAGCCGTGAGAAGTCAAATGTCTGATGCTGTCATGTTCGTGTAGGTTGCTGTGCTGCTGGACTCGTAGACGGTGGTCGTGCTGGTGGCAGGTTAATGCAGTGCCGACTCACTTCCCAGTCGTACCAGTTACCACTTTTCCCTAACCGGTGATTATATTCCTCTCTAGACACCTCATCAATTCGTCAAGTCATCAGATTCGTGCACGATATCTCCAAAACTTTTGTGTGTTGCCTGCTCATCTCATTTTCGCTTCAGCCTGCTCCAGAAGCTCCAACGTCAGAGCTTGCGTCGAGGGTCCGAGGTCAATGAAATCATCCCTTGGAAGATCCCAGGGAAGTCTCCTCTTTCCCTTTGGTCTTGCCCATGGCAATTCAGGTTTTTGCATTTTGATCTCTGTGTCTGGTGACCGTGGCTTGAGCGTTGCCTCTGGAGCCTTGGGCCCTGGTGCTAGAGGTGGACCCATGAGAGCTGTCTTTCCAGCTGCGGTCAACGGTGTTGGTGTTGGCTTCGGCGTGTCGATTTCTGCCTCCACTTCCTGGACGAGCGCAATCAGATCTTCGTCCTCGATTTCGTTGAACACCGAGTTGAAACTTTCAGAAAGAGCCTTTGATAATGGCACACGAGACGGCGATACTGGAGCAGTTCTCAGTGTAACAGGGCCTGCTTCACGTCCCGGGGGATCGCAAATCAAGTTACTGCCAAGTGGACTTGTGCTTTGTGAATTCTCTCGCGTTGGCAGATCGTCTGGAAGTGACTTTTGAGTTGAGCAGAGCATGAGAAAAGTCTCATCGTCTATACCCTCGGTGAAGTCTTCATCCAGAAGCACGTTTGTTGCACCAAGGCAATCTTCACTTGTGTCGAATCTCTTCGTTACCTTGTTACTCTCATGCCGGATACTACCGTCATTATCCTGTGGAAGTAGTCTCTCCGTCGGAGACTGCTCCGAGATCTCGTTCCTAGTGGATACTGTTGGTGGACTTTTCGGGTGCTCTTTGAGACTGACAGTTGTCTCTGCTTTGGGAGAGGTTGACTTTAGCCGTGATAGCCCTCCTAACCGCTCCGGCGACTTGACCTTTTCTTCGCTCAAATACTGACGTGGTTCAAGTCTCTGGGAATTGATTTGCGACGGTCGCAGCTCTCTGAGTTTTGGTGACTGTCTCAAATTTGATGACGGTATCGGTGAAGCATGCACAGTTGAGCCATTATTTCGTCCTTGTCGATAGTCATCTACGTCTGGACGTGCGTCCTCTGCGAAAGTCTGTGATGGACTGCGGACCTCTTGAAGACGAGGTGGCTCTTCTGGACCTCCAGCAGTGGAACCGGAGGCCTGCATGTTTCCATCATCCTCCACAACAGGTTGAGCTCCGGTCGTCTCCTTTGTCGCCCGAATTGCCGGCTTGTGTCCAAAGAATTTGTTCAGTCTGGGTTGGCTTGCCGTCACCTTGCCCCAGGTGTCCTCCACGTTGATCCGACCTTCGTCCAACATCTTCTGTCTGACGACGCGCTCCTTCTCAAGCTTCTCCTCCCGCTTCCGTTTGTTCTCCGCCCGTTGTCTCTCTTTCTCCAGTTCTTTCTTTCGCTTCTCTTCACGTGCGTCCAACCTGTCTGCGCGGGCCATCTGGGACGCCGTGTATCGGAAACCTCCCTCTTTCTTGTAAGCCCGCTTGGCCTCCTTCAGGGTCATCGGAGGCTTCGCGGGCCGCGGCATCTTGGGCAAGAAAAAGGTAGGTCGGAGAAAAGTGTCTCGGCACCAGACGCAGTTTGCACAGAAAAGTGACCCTGGTGCGTTGACGCGATGGCTTGGACTAAACAAATAGACGAAATGCACGTCACTTTAGGGCAAGGCGGAAGAGGTTCCGCATGCAGCTCGGTAGACTTTCCCCATGCTCAACGAGGCTGAATGTTCAGCCACTGTTTGCTGTAGACCTTTATGATTCTTCGACATCGTCGTCAGCTTGCTCAGCATCCTCGCCTTCGTCCTCCGATTCTATGTCTTCAATAGGAAATGTAAGGATGGCCGCGATACCTCCCAAGCCTTCCAGCCGTCTCCCACTCTCATGGTCGCTACTGAGGACTCTGACTTCGCCGCCCTCCACCTCTCTCACTCGATCGACAAGCCTAACCCATCTTCGTCTCGTCGCGACGTCCTGGCTTCGAAACAGGGCGTTGCTGATCAACAGAACTCCTCCACCACGACCCACAGCCCCCTTTTCAACGCACGCTTCGACCTCTGTCGGACCGTACCATGCCCGTCCGTCGTCCTTTCGTAGGAGAGCATAGAATTCGTCCATTAATGCAGTCTCCCGAGCATATTTTGTATCTTTCAACCTCACTAGCACCTCTGGGCTTTTGAGCACCTCGTTGAGGCTGTGGAGGTGGCCGGAGCTGCTGTGGATCACGATGAACGCATTCCGCCTCACCAAGTCTTGCAGCATCTTGTCCCCTTTTGTAACGGCGGTCTCACTGATCTGTTTCAGAAAGCCTGCTGCCGTGAATCCGGGACTCGCCAGTAAGATTGGAAAACTCGTGCTGTTATCTTTGTGCTCCATCAGGCCTTGAAGTTGTCTTAGCAGCGTGTCCAGCACGGTACTGTAGAACTTGGTCAAGCCTTTGTCGTGATCCGCCGATCTTCCGGCACCTGTCCGCTTTCGCGGGACCGAGACCTCGACTCTCTGCCTCAAGACGGTCTGGAACTGTGTGATGAAGCAAATGTTGGCCAGTCCTTCCTGCATAACGACGGCGACCGCTTCAGTGCCCCTCGTAGGATCTATAGCCTCTTCTAGCTGCGCACGCGCGACACTATCCCAACCCTCTGACCCATCAGTTCCCTCGACCACCTTTTCAAGGGTGAAATTGCGCTGCAGCTCGAGGTCGAGGGTGTGGAATTGCCCGATCTTTGTATACCTGTTCTCTCGTGCAATCTGGCCCGACACATGCAACTGCCCAGCCTGGGGGTCGAAATCCAACGACTTGACCCGTATCGTGAGGTTCGTGTGGACACGTTGAGACGACGTAGAGCCCGTCGACGAGGATTCGGTGGTCACCCGCCGGATGGCAGAGGCAGTGAGGAGGTCTGTGGGCCGAATGAGGTTATAAGCATGCCACTAATTGGAACACCTTTCAGAGTGAGCACGACGGGGGAGCGGCCAGGGGGGTGCAAGTACCATGTCTTCAGGTTCCTCGGGGCACAGCGTGACGCTCCCACTCCCGTCGTCGTTGATATTTCGCTTGACCAGGCGCATTGCGACGATGTCTAATTGTTCGGTTTGTTCGAGTCGTTGGTATCATTAGCGGTCACAATTGCGGACGGGTGAGTGACAAAGATTGATACGAGGGGATTAATTTGTGGTCGTCGAGGGTTTACGTGGGGTTCCTACGCATTGTAGATTCGACTCCATCCCATTCGTCCCTTGAATATGCTTCGTGACGTACAATGTTCCCCGATCTATCCTCCTCTGTATCTCAACAGGACACCAGATTTGACTCATACCTGACCAGACGTGTTTCTTTCGAATGCATTACATCCTCGCTTGTTCCAGCGATTGTGTTTCTTCCAATCTGGTAGTAGTTCATTGTCGCGGCCTCGACCATTTCAACATCCCTCAATGAATATCTCTTGACCAAGTCTACCTTATTGGGCAGGCCACTGTACCTGGACTGATAAGTCGGCCACACTTTGAGATTTGTTCTTCGGTAAATGACTCGTATCGACTATATTGACCGTTGCCCGTGTGATCACCTTACTGCATTCAAATCCTCAAACTCCAGTTCTGTTTCTGCTACGCTTGGAAGTAATGAGTGCAAGCTCAGGTTGACTGCCAGGTCCACATGTTCAGGCCCATCTTGTTCCCCGAGGTCACGGGCATTCCAGCGTGTAGGGTTTGCGGGTTACCCTTGCCATCGCCACTGAGATTATCCCAGTACACGGCGTTCCCTTGAATCGGCTTGAAGGTGACCCCGTCATCGATGGGACGGTCACAATCGACAAACTGGCACCACCACTCTTCCTCCTCGGGCGGTGGCTTCAGTCGAGGGAAGTTTGTACCTCCCCCGGTACAATTTGCGTGGATGTACACGAAGAAGGTCGACGCGACGTTGCCACCGACCGCGTTGGCGTCGCCGTACCAGTCGTAATGGTCTCGATACTGTCCTGCAATGCCGTAGTTCTGCACCACCAAGGGTTGGAAATCGCCGACGGGCTGGTAGAAAGGGAAAGCCTGTGCGCGCTCTTCAATCTGCTGGATGATCTTGTCCCTGGGCAGCTTGGCCGTCATGGAGGATCGGTACGCCGAGTCTCGGTGGACTTTGCCTTCGTCAGTCCATAGGACGGAGGGCTTGAAACGGGGTTCGCTATCGGTAAAAGCTCTTAGTAGCCCCAACACTCTCGGGGATGTCAATAGGCGAGCTTGAAGATTTTGGTCACTTACGCGAGCTGGACCAGATGAGAGGCTTCTTGCGGGGTGATGAAGTCTTGTACGTATACCACCAAGGGATCTTCTGACAGCAGGTATGTCTTCGGTCCCTTGCTATTTGTCCCGGTATTGCTTTGCCAGACAGGGAAATGGTTCCAATCAGAGTACAAGTGCCCGACGCCGATAATCGTCGCCAGCACAGGTACCAGTACGAGAGGCAATGTCCCAGCGGGCGTCATATTGGCTTCGGATACGCGTATCGGGGAGCATTTACCCAAGCCAGTGGAGAGATCTGGGCAACGTCCAAGAACGAAGAAAACTGGTTAATTTGGATGCGGTAGAGGATCGGTGAAGATGCAGCATATCATCCATCGTGCTCTCGGTAAAGGCGCCTACTGGCTGCTTGTTCGACCTGCTGTTTCTATGTAAGATTCATGCCCATGTTGACTTCTGCACAGCGATAGCATCTCACAAGTTCGACATCTACCGCCCGAGATGAAGGCTCAAATACTGGTTCGAATGTGGGTCACCGTCTTTGCCTTGATTCAGGTTCATGGCTGTAAGGCTGCGCTCGAGTACGCAGCGCCCGCAACACTCAAAACCCTCGCGACCGCCCAGAGCAAGGACAACTTGGTCATTGCTGTCTGTGAGTTACCAAGTTGTTCCTCGCTTGTTTCTTCTTGTCACTAATGATACCTTGGAATTCTAGTTTGTCTGGTGCGTAGCTATTCTCTCTCTCCGGCTCTGATATCACCTGACTGAATGCTGCCGTTAAACCACAGCCTTGGTAGTACGTTGAACGAGACAAAGGGGCGGGCGAACGGTCCGTATATTGACCATTTATCAGTGAACAATGCAGGACTCTGGCTCCAGAGCTGGAAAAGGCCAAAGAGGCGCTGCAACCGTGGCCGTCCGCTCAATTGTTACTCATCAACTGCGAAGGTGAATCGGATATTTGCCCTTCTTATGGGGTAGCTTCTTTTCCAACCATACGACTCTTCCATGGATCAAGACAAAGTCGATATCGAGGAAAGTTCCGGGCTTCCTCGTGAGTACTGCTTTCGCCGTGACCTCACAGCACTGACCTTTGCAGCGTTGTAACCAAAGTACTCCAAACTATAACGCAACTGGTTTCCCAACCAGACAGGGAAGCCTTCGGGACGTTAAAATCGTTGGACGTCCCGCTACTGCTCTTCGTCGTATCTGAGGACGAAGCTCCTGAGTTGTCGACCGTTAGAGCCCAGGTGGCCGAGAAGCTTCAAGACAAGTTTCTAGTGGCGACCACCACCGACTTGACCCTAGCCGAAGAAGCGGATGTCCGACCCCCTTTTGTGGTTGTCTGGCACTCCCTGGACGAAGTCAAGCCTATATATCGTGACAAGTTCGAAATGGGACCGATTCTCAGGTTCGCAGAACAGACCTCGACGCCGGTAATCGGTAGGCTGGACTTGAAATCGTACATTGACCACACCCAGGTTCCGTGCACTGTTCAGGTTTTGTATGTGTGTTCCTGCTGATTGAGAGTCTAGTCGGGATTGCCAATCGCTTTTATCATCGCCGAAACCGATAGAGAGAGAAAGACCATTGCCGAATCATTGAAGCACGTTGCTCTCAAGTACAAAGGAAAGATCAACTTTGTAACCCTCGATACAACAAAGCTGCCCTTTTTGCTCGAGCCACTTGATGTGGACGCCACACGCCTGCCTGCGTTGGCACTACATCGTGGTGATGACGACGAGGTGTTTGTCTACGACCAGAATCGTCACATCAACAGAAGAGACGTCGAGACTTTTATACAAAGAACCATTCATCGGCCGGTGACGGAACTATAGGCAACGTATCAGCGTCGAAATCAATGATCAGCTTAGAATTGGGCGGCAACGGCTGCCTCCCAATCTATTCCCTACCATTCAAACAGCTCCTGCACTGATCAAGCAGATCTTGTCCCTACCGTTGTGATCTTTTCGTGGACCCGTGATGGCGAAAATGTACAAATACATGTCACTACAAGCACAGCGATCGATCCGCGACGAATCCGAAAGCGACGCCATTCTCGGAGAGAAACTTTCCGGCCACGCGCGCTGATCCGTGACGATGTCCACCAGCACTCGAGCTGCACAGCCAGGTTTTGCCACCAGGTCTCCTAGTGATCCGGAAACCTCCCTCGATACACATCACCAGATTTCATTGTTGGGTGTTGAAGAGGCTCGGCAGAGTAGGGCAGTGGGTGACAAGTCTACTGCCACATCAAGGCGCGGTTACCTTAAGTGCTGGTGCTTGAACCAGGATTGGACTGGCAGCTTTCAGGCAGGCAGCTCTAATGGCCCAACATAACGACAATATTTCGCAGCACACTTTGGGAGAACTTAAAGTCCCTTGAAGTATTCTTGTCTGAGGCCTTGGGGCGTTCTGATCCAAAAACACCCAGAGTGACACCGCCGTTATCTGTCCTTTGCACTCAGACTGGGCCAATGTAGTATATTTTGGAGACGGGCGAGGGAGGTAGGCATTTTGAGTGCTAACTAGCCGGCGAAACAGTTTACAAACTGTCCACTTAGCGCGGGCTTAAAGCAGGGCGGCGGCTGCGAGGCACACGAGATCGTTTCCATGGCGGTGACGGGGGATCGGTCGCAGCTGGGATTGCACATCAGTGGTCCAGAAAGGCGAGAGGACACCTTCAAGTGGAGGTAGGGGGATGAAGTCAATCAACTCTTTTTTTTTCAACTGGGGACGACAAATCGTGTATCAGGTAATCCTCCGTGAGATGTTCGTATTGGAGGAGTCTGTGCAGTTTTACCTTCTGCGCAAGGTGCGATCGTGACCAACCTCCTTGGAGCAAAATGAGGAGCGTTCAATCAAATTAAATCCCCCCACCGAGGGCGCTGTAGGCGTCCCAGCTAAGCCTAGTGAGCCCAAGTGGGCTCCCCCAGCCTCCCAGGCTTACCACGTCCCGTGCAACCTCCCAAAGTCAGGAGGCTCCGAGTGCTTCTAGGCACTACTGGTGGCACAGTTTGCACACAGGCTCCACCAGCTGCATCATATTATGTTATAGCTGCCGCTCAACGCTTTACCTCCGTCCTCCGTGCCTGGGAACCCAATTATCACCAGTTCGTTTTCGCAACACCCTCCCCCGCCGCCTACTTTCCCATCACCAGACTGTTACACATCTTGCGTTCTGCTTCGTGTCTTTGGCAATATTCGCACTGATTTCGCCTCTCATATCATTCCTACCTCTTGAAAGCTGTCTTCTTGCACCACCTGCGCCTCACAAAGTCAGAACCGGCCCACCCTCAAGCTTTTCCGAAAGCTCTCCGCCTGCTGCCTGCTGCGCCATTGAGCCGATTTCACCTCTCACAAATTCTTTTCAAACTTGACAGTGCCTTTACCTGGATCGCCTGCCATGGGAAGCTTCGTATTCAGATGGTGAGTCGATGCGCGTCGCTTCATGCTAATTTTATCGCCGACTCTGTGATCTACTGAGTCCGGCGCCAAGTTTTGACCAACCCGCTGACACCTGATTTCTAGGCCCCATCCTGAGGCCAATGATGTCCACGTCACAGGGACCTTCGATGACTGGGGAAAGAGCGTCAAGTTGGACAAGGTCGGCGAGATCTGGGAGAAAGAGGTGGACTTGCCCGTGGCCGACAAAAAGATCTTCTACAAGTTCGTTGTCAACGACCAGTGGATCATCGATCCCGAGGCACCTCAGGAAGACGACGGCCGAGGGAATGTCAACAATGTGCTACTACCTGAGAATATCAAGCCCAAGGCATCCATGGTCCCAGAAGCTGTGACCACATCCAGCGCGGCTCCTGAGAGCACCACCGCAGCCTTGGCTGGCCAGGTGCCCTTGGAGCCCAAGAAAGAGGCCACGGAAGGTGAGTGAGCCGCAGAACTATGCTGTCGCAAATACTGACCTTGGCGTCTGTCTAGTCACCCCTGCGTCTGACTCCCAACTCAACAAAGAGGCAGCGGGAAGCGGTGTCCCGGGCACGTTCCCGGAGACACCAGCAAAGGAACCAGACTCATTCGGCGTCAATCCCTTGCCGCCCACTAGTGGCGCAGGCAATCCCGTCGACCTTCCTGCAGGCGAAAAGGTTCCCCCACCCGGTGAAGTCACGACCAACACAACGCACTCTGCAGTGACCACGTCAAAAGAAGACTACGAGAACGCAGGCTCGGGTATTCCAATTATTGGAGGAGCGCTCGCCGCGCTAGGTCTTGGAGGCGCCGCAGCCAAAACGGAGAATCTGATCCCAGAATCTTCTTTGCCTATGGGAGCGGGCGCCGGAAATTCACTAGACGCAGGTCCTTTGCTCAGTTCAGCTGGAGCGTCGTCAACCACGGCTGAGTTGGCTGGCAAAGTACCTCTGGAAGAAAGCAAGCCGGCGACTGAGGTGGACCATGCGCAAGCGATCACAACCACGGTGCCTGAGGTGGTCAAGGAGTCAATCGCAGAGGCACATGTTGATCCCGAGGCCACCACGTCTGCCGAAGTTGTCAAGGAGAAGGCGGAGGTAGAAGAGGAACTGGTGAAAAAAGTGCCCGAGGTTGAGGAAGCCGGGGAGCCAGCACCGACGATTGCAGCTGCCACGACTGAGACCGCGCCGTCGGCCACTCCAGCTTCAACAGGCGGCCCTGTTCCTGGGACATCCTCAGCTGCTGCAGCCGCGGTGGCTGACGGTGCCGACGGGACGGTTGAACCCACAGAAGCTGTGCCACACAAGGTCGAGCCAGAGAAAACGGAGGGAGACACAACTGAATATGCGCCGCCACACGCAGCAGGTGTGGCTCCTGGAGTGTCTGAGTCTGCGGCGGCGGCGGTCTCTGATGGCGCCGAGGATCCCACGCTTGCCGACGAGCCTGCGGTGCAGTTGATGAACAAGAATGAGGCTGAAACGGCGGAACCTGCCGTGGCCGCGGCTGCGGCCACCACCGCCACCGAACCGGCCACAGTCACCGCACCCACGTCGGCGGCACCAGAATCCAAGAAGGAGGAAGGCAAGGCCGCAGCACCTGCAGCACCCACGAGCGCCACTTCAACGCCGACGAAGAAACCAGAAACTGCTCCGGCTACCACACCTTCGTCCTCGGCGACTAAGGAGAAGAAGAAGAAACACCGAGTTAGCTCATTCTTCAAGAAGATCTTTGACTAGATGCCAAAGAGGCCGGCGGGATGTTATACAGAACAGGAAAAGGCCGAAGTGTGATAGAGCAAGTGAAGGTGCGCAGTGAAAGTGGTGGACGGAGGTGGGGGCTTGCGGTGCGGGAGCAATTGGGATTGCATTGCGAACGGGTCGGCGCACCCGCTGGGGTTTGGACAGCGGATTCGTGTTGATTTGGGACTTGTTTGTCTTGTAGATATCCCCTGCCGTTGTGTTTGTATTAGGAGAGAGAAGGACCTTTTTGGGGTTCGATAATGGCTAATCCGAATGCGTTGATGCGGCTGTCGCAATTTCATCGTCAACTACTGGCTGGGACAGTGGAGGGGAGAGATGTTCTCGTAATGTTCTAGAAGCACCAGAAGGATTCTCGAAGCTGTGGGAGCTGTGTGAGCTTGATGCAGCACATCCGGGAATCTGCAGCCCCATGAGCAAGTCTTTTTTTTCTCCAGGGTGTGTAGAGTACGGGATCAAGCCCTTTCTCTCCTGTCCCTGCTCCGCTCTGCCAGTCTTCCAACCCCTGTGATTGCTTGGGCCTTCACACCTTCATTGCTGGGTGCACGAAGCAACCTTCTAGGTGATCCGGTGGCTGCACGAACAGGTGTTCCGAGGCCAATCAGTGCCTGGTTCGGCTCGTCGTTGACCGCCTAGCTGATGCACCGTCTGTAGCGATGACATCGCCTATCAGGTTCCTTGGCTGTGACTGGTCGGAGGTAGGGAGCTGCTTGAGCTTTGAATCCAATTGAGGAGGGGTATGCTGCGGACGGTAAGGGGAGGAGAAAGGAAGAGTGACAGAGAAGAGTGTTGGCTCGACGGTGGTGCTGTGAGATCTTCTGGTTGGGTTATTCTTGGCCTGTTTTATTCTTCCATTGAGCTACATTACATACTGTTTGCTGGAGTAGCTGAAGGAGCTGTTTGTTCCCTCCATCGAGTAACGTTTAAATAGCCACTGGCCAGTTGCCTGCGTTGCGCAGCTTGCAAAATAGACTTTACCAACCCATTTCAATCCCCCTCCTCATCTGTTCCCTTCTTCCTTTCTTTTATATTCAACCCCCGGCTTTCGCTTTCTCGCCTACCCGCTTGATCGTGTGCTATCCAATCTCTGGCCCTTTCAACCAAAGTGGTCCTCGGTTACCCCTCCACTGCGTCATCTGCGCCTCAGAGTTGCTCATTGCCCCACTTGCTCTCTTTTCCTCACCACCTCGAACCAGCCAACCAACCTACCACTCCCTCTCGTGGGCTGGTTCGCTCCACTGTCTGCAGAATCCAGCGTAACTCGCCGTTTGCCAGTGGACATCAGACTGCCGCTTCATTGCCTGAGATAGGCATTCCGCCCTTGTCCATTCTCGCCTGTTTCCCCCTACCTGTCTCACAGACAAACCCGTCCTGCAATCCGTCAAGTCTGTGGCCCACGGTTTCACGGTCCTCGTCGGTGACAGGCCACCCTACCTCCCCAAAAGAGGGTCCTTCCGTGTCCTTCCAAGCACCAAACGACCGCCAGTTGAGTCCGTCCGCAGGCAAATCCTCCTAACCCGAGCTTAAGCCAACGACAGTAGCAGGCGGTCCCTGGGGTCTCAATACCCACACCCAAACGACGTCCTCCCCCACATCCTCAAACCTCTGCCGCAAATATCCATGTCTCTTCCTCCTCCTCACCAAGCCATTGTTGA